AAAATGGAGTTATTGATAGCAAACCCAAATTCCTTGTATAATTCCATAGACGACGGGTTAAATTTTTTTAATTAAAATTGGCAAAAAAGCCCTCTTTTGGTAGCCTATTCTGCTCGATAATCTTTCTATTGATGACGCCGATCAAAAAACAGCGTCGGATACGCTAGTTTAGTACAGGTTGTCAGTATCCATACCGATTGAGCCACAGTATAACAACCTCTTTGGCGGGCACTTTCAGGCGTATAAATTAAATTAAACAATTTAAAGACAACTTTTCTGGCGCCTCGCAATATCGCTCTTTGACCGCCAAATTGATGCTTTTGCAATCCTTAAATATTTCTTTAATGAGAAATGCGATTTGCATCTATGAACAAAAACAAGGAAAATGGTCTGCCACCGTTGAAAAATCCAGCGCCATTAGATGCCTTTAATATCCTCAAGCCCATATCGATCAATCAGAGGGACCATGAAGCTGAAAAAGAAAAACCAGTCCTTTCTCTGCAGTCGATAAATCAGCATTCGACCATATGTGTCAAGACAGTTAAAGTTCGGTTCTTTTCTTATTTTTAGAAAACACCCGAATCTTGCATTCCACAGACCTTGACGAAGCGGAAAACATTCAAAGTATCCACCGAGCAGTTTGTGGAAAATTCGAATCCCATTAGCAGAACTCTACTTGTACCTGCAGAGGGCCTTCCGTCAGAATTGTATTATGATCTGATCTCATTCATGATCAAGGTGTGTCTATTGGACTAATTTTAAGGAAAAAGAGCCACCAAGCCCTCTTTACATGGTCAATCAGAAGGAGATTACACCCAAAATGAGGTCTATTCTTGTCGATTGGCTAGTCGAAGTTGTGGATGATTACGAGCTTTCATTTGAATCCCTACATTTGGCTATAAACTATGTTGACCGCTACCTGTCTGCAAAGGTTCTTCCAAAGATTTTCCTCCAACTCCTTGGAATATCGTGCCTTTTGATTTCTTCCAAGTTTGTCGAGAGGGAAGGGATGAAAATCAAAGATGCAGTGGACGTTTGTAGCGGATGCTATACGCAAGAACAGGTACTCTACATTGTCTAAATTTCCGTATAGGTTCTTCTTATGGA